AATAAATTTTTATATAGAGTAAAAATTTCAATATTTACTATGTTTTATTATAAAAAATGATCATGTGATGCATTATTCTAATTGAGAAGTTCGCCCCCAAAAATTTTATATAAAATGTATATTTTTATAAATATATGAAGATTTGCCAATGCGCTTCGACCAAAGTTGCAAAAACTAACAATATTATACTACTCAGGTGCATTGTGCGTCTACAAATTAGTTTATAAAATTCAACTAGGCAATTGTGTTCCTAAGTTATTACTGTTTGATTAATTAGATGAACTGTTCGGAAGCTTTAAAAGTATGAGTAACCCAATCTTTAAAATTTGAGTTACATTAAAGGCAACGTATGGTTTAGCTATTCAATAAAAAATTTGTGATCTAAAATTATAACTTCATGATTCCATAATATAGAGTTATTGGATGTTAAACAGGCAATAATGATTAATTATTATTGAAAAAAATATATATTTCTTTATAAATTATTGTTTTGCTTATTTATATCAGTGTCACATTATTAAGATACAAAATCATCATTGTATAATAAGTTTAATAACTAATTACATTAAAAACCGACCCAAATTATTAATCAATCGGTGGGTATTGAAAATTAACATCAAAGAATCGGCAAATTTTGTGATAGGAAACATTCATATTGAATATTAAAAGCGTATACGTGATAAAAAAGACAATTTAAATTAGCTCCAAATATATATACAGTATATATAATTTATCATGTATAAGTATTATATATACCAAAATATCAATTTTTTTGTAATAATAATACTGTGGTATTCGCAATATTAAATTTATCACATTGCTGGACTAGTCCCCAAAGTGACTTTTTTAGAATTTAATGCTAAATGTCCTGGATTTCTCTTATTGTTAAGATGGCTTAAAGAGCAATATGATTTGGACTTTTTTTATTATTTTTGATTTTAATTTAGACCCGTGTTTGAATTTGATAATTTTGGTCTATTTTTTTGTACCAAGTTAATGCTTTTTTCAAATTTATTTCGGTTCCTATACCGTATTCATAACAATTTCCAACCTCATATTGTGAGGCAGGTAATCCCTGTCTTGCGCCTTTTCAAATAATTTAAATCCTTCAATTTTACTAGTAACTGTTTCTTGACCTTTTTGGTAACATAATCCTAAGGTATTCAACGCTTTGATATTTCCATTTTCAACTGCTTTCTTGAGATAATAAAATGCATTATTACATCTTCTAAGTTTATAATAATACTCTCCAAGCATACGTTCCGCGTACCATTCAATTGCCTCTTTCTGATTCAAATTGTTGTTCCAACCCTCTGCATAACACCTTCCAACAAAATATTGTGCAATAGTGTCTCCTTTTTTTGCCGCATCAATAAATAAATTAAGAGTTGCTACGTTATTTTCATCTGTGCCAATTTTCCAAGATAAAACAATCCATGTAGGCTAACATATTTTGAATAATTGTTACTTGGCAATAACCATTGAAAAACTTCTTCATTGGTTTTTTCACTTTTAGATATGATGTTGGTAATTATATCTTCCTGATCTACCTTCGTTAAATAGTTTACTAAAAGTCGAATATAAATTATTTACAAAGAGAGTCATTTCATCCATCATGGCATTTAATTTAATATTATTATTGACTTTAATGTTTCCAAAGGTGTTCTTAATAATTCTTCGAACTCTGATATATTAGATATGTCAAAATCATTGATCGTGATGTCTCTGGTCGGTCATCTGGCATTTTCTACCGACTCCCTAAAAGATTTAAAAAATATAACCAATAAATTATAATTAAACTTACTTTTATAAATAGCAACATATTCATGTTGTGTATCAGAATTTGGTTTTCTCGTAGCCCGTTTGTTATCCTATCTAGTAGAGTTGTTAGATCTACGTTTTTTTCACTTGATATTTCCCAAATAACTCCGATATTATAAATATCTGATTTCTTATTTTTTCAATATCTGCGAATATTTCTATTTTGACTTGTTTTTGTTATAAAACATTGAGGATCAATATGAGGTATAGCTCCGTAAACTTCACTTGTGGTTTGAGCATTGAAGCTTCATTAAAATGTTGTGATAATCCAAAGTCATATTATTAGTATGCTTTAAGGTAAACAAATGAAAATTCACAAAATATTATACAATAATTACACGAAACATAGTACAATCACATATTATAGAATTTACCAGATCACAATGAACAATATTACGAGCATGCAACCATTTAATGGCTTCTACTAGTTGAATTGCAAACTGAATCTTTAATGCCCATTCAATATTTGTTGAATTTTTGTGCAAATAATCTCGTAAAGTTCCATTATCTGCGTACTCAAGAATAAGCACATATTTGACTAAATTTGCATCCATTTGATCAATTTTGTATGTAATACCATAATGTTCTCATGAGATTCTACGGAAATCATATGCTCTATCTGAATATTATTTATCACAATTGCACATTTTAGCACGTAAAATAAATGTTTACCTAATGACCTGTATAATATATTACTTACCTCATTTAAGAATTTATTTATTAGTACGATTATTTTTTCAATAATCTTAAATGCACATATGGGGTGAGTCAGTAGAAACGCACCATATTGTTTTTAATGAAATTTTTTTGAATCTTCAAACAAAAATAAATCAGCAA